TAACTTATGACAAAACTATAATAATTTATGAATTATGAAGGGTTCATGAGGGAGGGGGAGTAGAGAGGGAAGGGGAAAATGAGCAACTGATATTAAGGGCTAAAGTAGAAGGCAAATGTTTTGAGAATGATGAGGGCAACAAATGTACATATGTGCTTGAAACAATGGATGTATGTATGGATAGTGATAAGAATTGTACGAGCCCCCAATAAAATATTTTTTTAAAGGCTAATATCTAAGGAAAGGATTCAGAGAACCAGACTCATTTGCGAGTTCATTTATTAGTACTTAGCATATCATTTCTCACTGAAACCTTTTTCCACCTCACTCTTTACGTTTTGATAGATTTTTGAAGGTTTATGATAAATTAGAATCATACTGCTGCATGATGAAATGCCTAATATTTTGAGCTAAAGATTTTACACGGTTGTGGTAAGCAGGGCAATTCTTACTTTTTACTAGAAGGAGCATGTGTTTTTAGGTGGGTTTTTCCCTTCAATAAATTCAAGATTCCATAAGCCCTGCGAAGTCTCGGCAGTCCTTTCCCCTCATTGTGAGCAAGTGTACCAAATCAAAGTGCAATTAATTTTATCTTAGCTTCACTACAAAGTTGACTAATTTGCATATGAATTTCTAAACATGCCAAGACAAAAAATATCAATCATTTGAGAACAAAGAGTCTACGGCTGAGTTAGTGAAAGACTTCCTAAGTGTCTGTGTAGTGGGAAAAAGGGAATAGCAAATTGATTTCAGCAAAAGCAAATTTTGACACGTACACAAAACTCAGCTGCATCTTGCAGCAATGCAATAAATCATGGCTATCACTGCATTTACCATATACACACACCAATAATCACAGAGAATAAAGCAAAGTTGACAAGGAAGTGGTCCGATAAGGACTCTACACAGGATGCCGAGGGGCAGAGCCATCTCACGACTCAAGTAAACTGAATAAGAGTTGCTTTTTCAATATCATGTGTGTTTATTTTTGTTTGTGCTGCCATCCAGGGGAAAATGACATATCTTCTTGGAAGGATTAAGCAGTGCTCAGTGTAGAATTAAAACTTAATCAGAAGGATGATACTTTAGCTCCTAATCTACATATCTGAAATCATTCTACATTCTCAATCGTTTGCACGTTATACTTACACCTGATCTTTTTTTTTCTCATACCTGGTGACATATCTCATGAACAATGACCATGGTGACATCCAGCAAATAAGAAATAGATGACATACTGGGATCCAGTAGTATTCTTTGTTCCACAAAAATACTTAGTCCCCAGTTCTCCATAGCAGCATACGGATGCTTGGGCACAGCTAAAAGATCTAGAAATAGAATAAAACAGTTCCAAAGACTTTAATGAAAATACCACTTTCTAAACCTGTACCCTAAAATAAATCCAGAAAGCCTAATTAGAAGGGATTATTGCTCTATTTTGGTAACGCTTTTTTTAATTTCCTAAATTAGCCTACCTGCCATGTCTATATGACAGCAGAAATAGAGGCCATCGCTGCAAATGATGGTCAGACCCACTCATCACAGTTGATTTTAAAACCCAATGATATGGGTGGCTGGAAGTCCTGGCACTATTACGGATCTCGTAAGTGTCAGGAAGGTAGAGCAACCCAAGGCAAGAGAAGTCCACACAGTCAAATGCATTGGGTCTTCCAATGAAAATACGTTCACTTCAGTACTCTGCATCCTATGCTCGTACTTTCCCTTCCACAGTTCTCAGGGTAAACAAGCGTTCTACATCAGCCTTAAATGAGACTTGTCGTCTTCTGATTGCTTACATTGGTAACTCTTTCCGGGTTCTGTTTAAAGGAAACATTACACTTAAGGATAGCTTGTAGAGAGTAATATGGCAGTGGGCAGAGTGGCAAAAGGACACCTGGGGTAACCTAGACACTTTAGCTGTTGTCCTGCCCCGAAAACAAACTGGGTACATGATAGCAGTAAATCGTAAGTTCTCAAGACTGCAGACCCCTTACCTATTGCAATTGGCTTATTTGCCTTAATCATCCCTCTAACTCTCTCCAGCTTCAAAAGTCTTTGATTCGATGATTCTAAGATCTGCACTTAATTTTAAGGCACAGCAGTGTGATCAACTTTGGGTGAAGGTGGCACAGTAACTCATGCTTTGATGTGCTCCCTCTGCTCCAAACATGCAGAGGTATAAATAAAAAATTAAAAGAGAAAACCAAAAGCACCTCCGGACTCAAAGTCAAATCTCTCCATGGATCAAAATGGTACAGAAACACAAAATGGTGAGTGCCTGTGACGCCACAGGCCTGAGGGGTTCTGGCGACAGAAGCAGGCAGTGGTAGCTGGGCACTGGCTATGACAGACTTCACCAGAGCCAAGGGAACCTAAGCCAAGCTGATGGTTGGATGCCAGGGTTGAGGTAGGGCATACGTTCATGACAATAGGCTGAAAATAGCTGTACCCATGGCTTTCTGGGAATGCTGAAGAGTGACAGGATAGGGATTTGAACCCAGGCAGCCTGCCTCCAGCACTGGTACGTTTAATCACAATGCTATAGTTTTCTGGGTCTCTGGCTGAGAAGTTTCATCTCTTGATACATTTCTTGTAACTCTCTAAAACGCCAAGGAAAACTTTACAAGAATGCCCACTGTAGTACTCCTTGTAAGCATGAAAATGAGCAACTAAATGCCCAGGATAATAGACAAAGAAACTATGAAATCGCCATGTACAGGAACATTATACAACAATTGAAATGAATTATCCTACCACTATATTCTAGTCAGTACTCTACCTAGCAATAATTTAAAAACACTTAAATTATTTTTTGTTGTTTTTCATTGCAGTCGACTCAGATCCAATTCACAGTGATTCCATGTACAAGAGAACAAACCATCTCCTGGCTCCATGCCCCCTTCAGAATCGTTGGTCTGTCCCAGTTCAGTGCCGGGACCACAATGCATGCTGCTCATGGTGCTCATCTTCCATTTTTATCACACAGTACTCTTGCATGACCCAGAGCTTTTTGACTGACTGAATTTTGGATTCAGACAGTCAGGCCTTCTTCCTACCCTGTCTTAGTCTGTAAGCTCCATTATAAGCTGACTATAATGAATGACAATTTAAGATTTTAATTTAAGAACGTGCTTAAATGAGAACAAAACAGACAACAGAAAAACAGTGTAATGACTCTAGCTGCCACCCATATATGGCAAAAGGAGTTGTCATATGTCATTTGTTTTTAGGGACTACTGAACTATCTTTTTGGATCCAGCCTGTTATATAGTGGAGGCACTTATGTATGCTATAATTCTCCAAGAGCAGAGAGAAGGCGGGTTTTCAATACAAAGTGAGCAAATCTCAGGTTCCAAAATGGAATTTATATTGGTTCAAATGACATCAATAGAAGATTCCAAATACAAAGGCTAAATAGTTGAGGAATCCGGGATAAAGAAGAAGATACACATAGGAGATAAACCTAAGCTGGAAAAACTATGACTCATAGCACAGGCAGGTATGGTGAGGGGCAGGGAGGAACAGCTAAAAATGGTGGCAAAAAATCAGATAATTGTGATCAAAACATGTTGCCGGTGATTTATTGGTATCCAGATATATGAAAGCGCAGAAGTCAGGCCTGGGTAATGAAGTTACATATCAACCAGAGGACAGATTTTTCACAAGTGCAACTGGATTCCAGATGAAGTGGTTGATGAACAGAATAAAAGGTAGAGGGTTTCAGAACTAAGGGACAGCTAGTCAGAGGGTGTGTTAATCCAGGTAAGCTAGAGAAACAAATCCAGAGACACTCATATGTGTGTAAAAGAGAACTTTATCTCAAAGAGCAATTGTATATTAAGAAAACATCCCAACCCAGGTCAGATCAAGTCCATAAGTCCGATATTAGACCATGTGTCTGATACCAATCTCAGCGCTGGTATGTGTCTCCACGTGGCTCCTTCAGCTCCAGGACTCTGGCTGCATCAGTGTAGCTCCATGAGGCTTGTCAGCAGGAAGTCAAAGCAGAGAGTGTCTCTCTTCTCTAAGGAGGAATACAGGAGTTCCCAGAATCTTCAGGAGAAGGCCATGCCCACACAGAAGCCTCATTGGCTAGGGCCTGATAGGCTAGACTACACGCCTTTGCAAGTTGACAGGAGATTATGTAACTGCCACAGACCACCACTTGTCAACTTGGCACTTGTACACAACTCTTTAGCCATATATAATTTTCAAACAAACAAGAATAAATTCATATCTGTACCTAACAGGATAAAATTAAATGCATACAATTAAAAAATATGCCACCTCTTTTAAACACAGCATTCTACAAGTGAACCAAACAAAAATATGCTATACTCATGTGAACACCTACACCATAATTCTATGAACATATTCTCCCACCTATGAAAGTTTGTATGTCAAACACTTCATGTCTTTACCCCCCAAATTTTGGGTATCCAATTTTTATACTGCCCACTTACATCAACCCAGTGCTCTGAAGAGACAATCATATCCTTTGATGTGAAGAATCTTCATCCCAGTTGGAACCTTGTGAAGTCCACGTCCAGAAGCAAAGTCAGATCAGGACAGGCTGTCCATGAAGTCAACAGCAATATGCTCAAATTTTTTCTCTTCATCTGGTCAGGTTCTGGTCAAATCAATGTGGGCTTGGTAGCAGCTTGATGACCTCATTTGGAGGCATAACAGAGATAAATAGCTCACTAGAGCTCAGATACACAGACTCTCTGCTTCATCTCTCTATTGGCAAGACACGTGGATCTATGCTGATGGCAGCCAGAGCCTTGGAGCTGTAGGAGCCAAATGGCGACCCACACCAGTGCTAAGATGCTTCCACAGCCACTGGATCCACAAGACTTTCCACCCAATGGCCTGTGATCTTCCCGCACTCAGCATCATTGCATGTGCTGTGTGAGTCTAAAGAGGAATTTATGGACTAGTATTGGACATATGGGCAAATATCAGACTTATGGACTTGATCTGGACTGTGCTGGAATGTTTTCTTAATATACAATTACTCTTTATATAAAGCTTTTTCTTATAACATATGAGAGTCTATGAATTTGTTTCTATAGTCAACCCAGACTAATACAGAGAGGCTTTACAAAAGACAAGGAAAGCAATGTCTATGAATGGTGTGTGTGTGTGTGTGTGTGTGTGGAGTGGGGGGAATTCATTTAACAAAGCATTGAAAACATTGCTTGTTCTAACAACTATTGCAAGGCATTTTAACCATGCCTCTTCTCCAGACATTAAAAACTCAAGGAATCACCTGTGATAGTTTTATAATTTAAAAATGCCTATCCCTCTCAACAGTGCTTTAAAAAATTGGTACCAGAGGCTATTCAAAGACATTAGTAATAGAAGATCTTAATACCCCAGGGGGGTAGTCTGTAAGACTCTCTACCACAAAATAACAAGAAGATTTTGTACGGGACCCAAAAACTGATTTAAAAAAACAACAAACATAGATCCAGGAATGAGTTTTGGGTTCATATTAACTATTGGCTCCAACTTAAGAACAATTAATACTTACATCATGGCCCTGCTCAAATGAAGAGAACCCAGAAGTTATGGTAGCCATAGAAAAGTATGGTGAAGAAATTAGATGGTGCCTGGATGTCAGATGAAATAGCTTCTTCAAGGCTTGTTCCCACGGAAGCATCCATCTAAGTGAGCTGTCATTAAGTGTACATGGAAGACGCACACCAACATCAGTGACTGATGGATTTAAAATCATATAATCCGAAGTTAAAGGTGGGAATAGTATTAGAGCCTAAATTGTGAGAATCAGGTTTTCAGAAGGCTGTGGATGACAGTAGGAGCCCAAGACACATTTGTAGGGGTCCATGTAGGAAATAAGCCTCAGGTGATTTGCTTTTATCGATATTAGAGGGATGGATAAAAGATAAAAGAGAGAGGTTTTTGTTTGTTCATATTTTGGTTTAAGATGTGTTTTTTCAATGGAGGTAACCCTCTTGAATATTTGTCATTATGTTCACCTGTTTTTCAGTATATGAAGCCCAGGATTGATGAACTTATAGGGACAGCAAGCAGAATAAGGGTTTATGGGGGTATAGTGGTGATGGGGGCAGGGAGATAAGAGGGAGATGTCAAGGAATTTAAGAAAAAAAGGGATGCTTTGAAACTAATTGTGGTAGCAATTCTACAATATTGCTTGATGTAATTGAACTATGGAATGATATGATATCTGTATTAATGACCAATAAAATTGTTTATAAAAAAGAATATAAGTATATGAAAACTTTTAAAACAATGTTCATAGGAACTATATTTATAAATGCTTTGTACTGGAAACAACCCAAAT